ATACTGCACTGCATGGCCAAAAAAGATCGATAACTAAATAAAATTAAAAAATGGTCTTATAAAAAGAAAAAAGAGGTATATGCTAGAGTAACAATTTAATAAAATAATTATTCATTTAAAATTAATAATTAAAAAATGAGAGCATACATCTGCCAAAAGAAATATATAATAATATTCATGGTATCTTTATTCATAGTGATATCAAACAGTAAGCAATCAAAACATCCATCCACATTAAAATGGATGATCCAACTAGTCTATGCAGTGAGAATACTGCATACTCCATACACAAATGACCTTTGAACACATGGGTTTGAAGAGCATGGGTCCACTTATTCACAGATACTTTTCAATTGTAAATACCACAGTACTATAACCCATGGTTGGTTGAATCTACAGATTGGAACTGTGGATATGGAACGGCAGATACAAAGGGCTCACTGCAAAGCTACACATGACTTTTTGGCTGCAGAGAGGGTAGGCACCTCTAGTCCCAGTGCTGTTCTAGGGTCAACTGAATTACTCTATGCTTGTTGTGCCTTGTGAAGATCGCTCAGTCGTATCCGACTCTTTGCGATCCCATGGACTGTAGCCTGCCAGGCTCCCCTGTCCATGGAATTCTCCAGGCAAGAATACTGGAATGGGGTGCCATTCCCTCTTCCAGGGGATCTTCATAACCCAGGGATCGAACTCAGGTCTCCTGCATTGCAGGCAGATTATTTACTGTTTGAGCCAGCATGCTTATTAGACCTTCATTAAAAACACCAACTCACCAAACAAGAACCCACCCCATGGGTGTATGCATTTCTCTTCTGCTACTGCATCCTTAATTTTTTATAAGCACCGAGCTTACAGAATACATATCTTTGTCCAGGAGATCAATCTTTTCAATTTATATTCCATCCATCTACAAATCAATGATATATTAATAATCTGTTTTAAAAAGGCAAGCCACAGAGCAAGAGAAGGTATTTGTACATATATACAGATATAGACCCCACAACAGGACAAAACTCTGTAAAGCTATTAGAAGAATACAAGAGACCAGTGGGCAAAAGGCTTCTCATCTTATACTTCTCTGTATACTTTCAGTTTTCCTGAAACTATGATACACTACTTGTATCTTTTTAATTAACTTTTAGTCAATGATAATACAGGAATATATATTCCTTATAAAAAATTCAACATTCCAGATACAGCAAATGTCTCTGTTGACCTCTAATCCTAGCTCCCTCTCTAATACCTAGAGAAAAATGACTGAACTATTTAGGATGATTTTCCCAGATTTTCCCCCCAAAGCAGGGTTATTTTGTGGCTTTGTTTGTACGGCATAATGTATGTCTTATCATGGAACTCACTCTCTTTCTACTCATTGCTATGTCTTTCACTATTTTCTATATTGTATGCGCAAAGACACCTTCATGCTTTATTCTTTTTGACTGTTACACAGTTCTCCACTGGACAGACATTCCAGTTTAAATGCCTTTCCTCTACAGACATAGATAATCTCCTTCCTCCCTTCCTCCTCCTTTCTTTCTTTTTTTCCTGTTAGTCCTCCTATTTAATAAGAATAATCAATATGTCATTTAAATATTTATTCTGGCTTCATAAATTAAAAAGTTCCCAAAAGCTCCTGCCTCATTCTAATCTCAGAAAGCACTGTCTTATCTTGGGGATTTCCCCAGCTGTCTAAGTAGAAAGCAGAGCTCACAGCTTCCCATGCAGCTCATGGGATCTTAGTTCCCACTAGGGGTTGAGTCTGTGTCCTCAAAGTGGAAGCGCGAAGGGTCCTAACCACTGGACCGCCAGGGAAGCCCCAAGCCCTGATTGTTGCTGTGTCTCCTCCCCACTCACATTCCCCTAAGGACGACGATCGGTGCTGGAAACCCACGCTTCTGTTCTTTCACCTTTGCTACTGATGTACTGTGTGACTTCAGGTGAGTTGCACCCTCTCTGATTCTCCTTTCCTAATTATGCATAGAGGAGCTCGGGCCATATAAACTGCTGGGGTCTCTCTTAGCTCTGAAGGCTTTTGATGTGAGTGTTCTGTTGGCCACAGCGGTATCTGCAACTGACCGCGCAGGCAGGGATGCCTGAGACAGGATTTCCTTTCCTCATGGCCCGGTCCACAGTCTGCCTCTTGGGGGTCTGTATGGGGGAAGTTAACTGATGCTCCTCATGCAGAACAGTGCTCATGAGAGACACTGGGAACTGGGGCCTCAGGGACCTGCGCTCCCCCACCTGCATGTCTCCTCATCTTCCTGAGGCCTTGAGTGGGTTCTCCTGCGTGTCTTATCCTTGTGACGCCTGACGGCTATGTTGCCATAGCAACCAGGCCCGCTGAGCCATGTTTAAAAACCAGTTACCATGAAGAGGAACACTTAGTCCATTTCGAGGGGAACAGAGAGGCTATTACTCCCCATGAAATAGACTGTGTTTCAGAGACTGTCAGGCGGGCAGGGTCTGAGAGAAGAGCTGATCCAGATCCCTGGCTGCAGAGATGAGGCACCGAGGTGTGGACGGGGCCGGCTCGCTGCAGCTCACACGTCCAGAGGAGGAACCCTCTCGGGCTCTTGTTCTGAGCTCGTGCTCTCATTGTTTCCTTGCCACCTCTACCTTCACTTCACCTCCTTCCGCCCCTCTCTCTATGCCTCCAAGACGACCCTGCCAAACTGGACAACTGCAAATAGCCTGGCCCCTCACTCACCTTCTGGCTGCTTCTTCTCCAAACAGCGAAAGGGCCTTTAAAAAAATAAATCAGAATCCACCCCCCACCAACTACTCACAGCATCCCAAGGCTTCCTGCAGAACAGTGCTCATGAGAGACACTGGGAACTGGGGCCTCAGGGACCTGCGCTCCCCCACCTGCATGTCTCCTCATCTTCCTGAGGCCTTGAGTGGGTTCTCCTGCGTGTCTTATCCTTGTGACGCCTGACGGCTATGTTGCCATAGCAACCAGGCCCGCTGAGCCATGTTTAAAAACCAGTTACCATGAAGAGGAACACTTAGTCCATTTCGAGGGGAACAGAGAGGCTATTACTCCCCATGAAATAGACTGTGTTTCAGAGACTGTCAGGCGGGCAGGGTCTGAGAGAAGAGCTGATCCAGATCCCTGGCTGCAGAGATGAGGCACCGAGGTGTGGACGGGGCCGGCTCGCTGCAGCTCACACGTCCAGAGGAGGAACCCTCTCAGGCTCTCGTTCTGAGCTCGTGCTCTCATTGTTTCCTTGCCGCCTCTACCTTCACTTCACCTCCTTCCAAATTCCTCCTCCTTCTGCCCCTCTCTCTATGCCTCCAAGATGACCCTGCCAAACTGGACAACTGCAAATAGCCTGGCCCCTCACTCACCTTCTGGCTGCTTCTTCTCCAAACAGCGAAAGGGCCTTTAAAAAAATAAATCAGAATCCACCCCCCACCAACTACTCACAGCATCCCAAGGCTTCCCAAGGCGCCCCCTTAGCCCAGGACTAAGGCCCGGGCCTCTCCCACCTCAGCCTCAAACTGATCCACTCTGCTTTTTCACACCAGCTCACTCCAGGGTTCTCAGCATTTCTCAGAGACCTCATCCTGTCCAAAAAGAGCACATGTTTCCCAGCACCTGCGACTCTCGAGCTATTCTGTTTCCATGTTTATTCTTTCACAGCACCTGCCATCTGCACTCATGTCTCTGGTTGTTTACTGATTCTATCGTCACCCTCTCTGGAATAAAAATGGTAATTATTTGTCTGTCTTATTCACGGCCACTGACCTGCCACTTAGGGATGCACCTGGCAATGAGCAGGTTCTCAATACCTTTCTGCTGAATGTGTGTGTGGACAGAGGATGGCAGGAATGGATGCTGAAAGATGTTCCTGTTGCATCCTGAGGACATGCCTTTCCTTCCACAGCACTGGCTCTGCCCATTACCCTGTGCCTAGAGGGCCAGGCCCACCTGTGGACACCTTACGGGATCAGAGCCGAGTGGAGAGTGCTGGGAGGGTGTGGAGAACGTAGCCTCCATGAGCAAGCCATGAACAAGTTCTATATGGCCCCCAAGATGCAGAAACACAGGGACTCATGTTTTTGCCCATTAGCATAATTTAAACCAATTATTTACCAATTATTTAGCTCTTACTTTACATGTCTCGGGGCTTCCCTTGTGGCTCAGCTGGTAAAGAATCCGCCTGCAACGCAGGAGACCTGGGTTTGATCCTTGGGTTGGGAAAAGTCCATGGAGAAGGGAAAGGCTAGCCATACCCACTCCAGTATTCTGGCCTGGAGAATTGCATGGACTTAGTCCATGAGGTCGCAAAGAGTTGGACATGACTGAGCAACTTTCACTTTCATGTCTTACCTCCTTTCAGCCTCTAAACTGCCTTGCAGGGTTAGAATCCCTGTCTTCCATGACAACAAACGAAGAAAGCACTCTGTGCTCTCCCCTCAGCCCGGAACAGCTGTCCCTGATTCTCCACGAGGCCAATTCCTGATCAGTTTTCAGGTCCCCTCCTCAGGGAGGTCCTCCCCCGCCCTCAAGACCACACCAGATTCTGTATACCCTCCAGACCTGGCAATCGCCCCTCACAGCACTTGTTCTGACAGTAAACACATCGTTTCCGTGTAGACACTCTTCAGGGCAGGTCTCCTCTCCACTACCTGGGACACTGCACTGCATCCCCCAGCGCGGGGCCTGGCCTGTGGTCGCCAGGGGTTATCTTATGTCTGACGAGCGAATGGAAACCCAGACTCTGACAGACTTCGAGGCCCTGCTGCTAGAGGAAGGGGGGCGGGGGCGGGAGGGGGAAGGCCAGGCCCCTCTGACTCCAGGACCGGCTTCTCCCAGGATCTGGGCGTCAGAGAGGTCTGAATGGAATGGAAAGGAGCGCGTGCCCGCCCTGGAAGAGCACACAGCTGAGCGGCAGGGCTCCCAGGTGGGATGCGCTGGAGGGGCCTCTGGCATCTGTTGGGGTGGGGGGACCCTTCCAGCCTGGAGACACGCCAATTCCTTGGGGCTCAGGACTCACCAGAGCTTGCTCGATAAGCAAGCAGAACAGGATGGCATTGCCCACCTCCCTCAGGCTCTGGAACACGTCGGTCTTGAGCTCTGCGTATTCGATGATGTCCTTCAGTTGGTGGTGAAAGAACTCCAGGATCCCTGGGAGATGCAGGGGGAGGGTGAGTGGGAGGGTCATGCTAAGCACTGTATCTGCAATAGCTCATGTAACACTCATAAAAACACCCTGGACCAGGCACTGTGACCCCTCTTTTCAGACGAGGCTCAGAGAGGGTAAGTGATCACACAGCCAGTAAGCGGGGCAGCCGGGAATGAAAACTAGAGCCATCAGCCCCAGCCCTTTCCTGCTCTGACTCACGCTGACCCAGCACCTGACATCTTGGTATTTAGGAAAAACAGCTGGTACCAAACTCATAGTCTCCACCCTTCCCCATCCCCCAGGCTCCAAATTCATTCCAGGTGCCATCACTATCAGGGAAGGGAAGGCTGACTGACTTCTCTGCCCAGAGATTGAGTGGTGAAAACTCCTATTTCCTGACTTACCTTAGAAATGCCACGTTATGCCATGCCTGGGGCATCAGTCTCCTCCAAATAGGCACATGGAGGAAGGAATGTGTATGTGCTGAGCGAAGGAAGATCTTTATAACTAAACCTCGATGCTCACAACCTAACGGGTCTCACATTTGTGGACCTCTTCCAGCCTCCGGGCAGTGCTGTGAAGCAGGCCCAGTGGGCACCACTTCTGTTCACTGATGGAAGACGATACTGTTGCTCAGGGGGATTAAAAATGGCCCAGGGCAATTTAGTGGCAGAGAGATGGTACAAACCCAGTGTTGTGACAGCCTGCTGCCATGTCAGAGAAGCAAATACTTCAAGGTAGATTGCCGGCGCCCCCTTCCACGTGTGATGGGTCTGGATTACTTTCCTATCACCACACCCCGCTCCTGGTTCCCCATCACCCACCTGGGGAGCCATACTCATGCCGGGGCAGGCGGCATATCTTAGGCATGACCTCGATCAGCGTTTTCACGTACTGGAGGATGGTCCCTTGGAGCTGACAAAGGAAGAGTACAAGATGAGTGAGTAATCCATGGCTGCGGCATATGAGTGTCTCAGGGCTGAATGGTGGGCCAGTGTGGGTATACAGGGGTTCAGCTGAGACATGTGGGTAAGTTCTATGGATTGAATATCTGTTCTCCCCCGAATACATATGTTGAAACACTGATCCCCAGTATGTTTGTATTTGGAGATGGGGCCTTGGGAAGGAATTAGGTGACGAGGGAGGAGCCCTCATGAAGGGATTAATGCCTTAAAAGAAGAGAGGATGGGGAGCAAGAGAAAGACACTCTCTGCCATGTGAGGACACAGTGAGAAGGCAGCTGTCTGTGAAGGAGGAGGATGGTCCTCACATGCTGGCTCTGTGCTCTGGGACTTCCAATCTCCAGAACCTTGAGCAATAAACATGTCACTGAAGCCACCCAGTCTATGGTGTATGTGTCAATGTATGTGTCATAGCATCCCAAGCTGCCTAAGACAGGGGGGCACTGCTCCCTAAGAGGACCAGCAGGATCTCTCCTAAGGGAGTGGGCCAGCCCCATCGCCCTTTGTAAGGGAACGTGGGCCTTTATAAGACAGAAAAGGGGACACTCTCATTATTCCCTTGGGCTCACAGACTTCAAGGGGGGGGCAATTTCTAGGCATGGGGTCCTTCCTGGGGTTGGGGCACTTACATGAGAGCTAAACTAAGATGTAAGATGAAATGGGACCAGGGAACTATGAAGATTGACACATCATCTAATTTATGCACAGAAAATTCATGGTTCATTCATCCCTCCCATGTCTGTCACAGACACCTTGAATCAATTACCATATTTTCTTCTTTAAATTTAGCTTCACAACCTAGAACAACCCCTCATTATAACAGTTGCTACCAGAGGACTAAAGTTAGCAGATGAATTCTGCTTGCTATTCCTGACATAGATATGCTTTACTTTATTTCTTTCATCATCTCAAACTTTGAAGAAAATCTTATTTAAATGTTTAAGCCTTGCTGCAGCAGTATCCTGGTTAAGTGAACGCTCATATGACCATACTTAGCGTGGATACAGAATGACGGAAAAGGGATACACAATTCCAGGCCAGTATCAGTGTTCAGCAAGGAATCCCAAGGGGAAGAAGCATGGTAACTGATTAGTGATATCTGCCAAGGGTGTGGGTGGGAAAAATGGCAGCACATGTGTCATGGATTTGTCATGCTCAAATAAGATAATGTAGCACAGGAGGTGGGTATGAGCAGTCATTGCCTGCATGATGCATGCTAAGTCACTTCAGTCCCGCCCGACTCTTGGTGACCCCATGGACTGTTGCCCACCAGGCTCCTCTGTCCATGGAATTCTCTAGGCAAGAATACTGGAATGGGTTTCCATACCCTCCTCCAGGGGATCTTCCCCACCCAGGGATCGAACCTGCATCTCTTACGTCTCCTGCATTGGCAGGAGGATTCTTTACCACTAGCGCCAGTAGGCCTTAAAGTCAAAGTCCAGATTGCTGAATTCAGTTAGCAAGTTCTAGAAGTGAGCTCGGCATCAGAAAAGGAGAGGCAAAAAAACCACAGGTCAGAAAATGCATGAAATGTTACAGGGGGATAGGTGAGAGGAATCAGGGGACAAGGGCAAAGCATTCCCTGGGTGATTCCTACAGACACAGCTGAAGAGCCTGTTGCTGGATTTTTCAGGCCAGGTAAAAAGTAAAAGCAGGCCTCATTGCTCCCCACTGGGCCCCTCCCAGGGCCCCTTCCTCACCAAGCTTTTGACGATCTTCAGCAGTTCCTCCATGACCACAGCAATGCCCTGGTAACCAAGGAGTCTGCAGATGGTCTTGAAATGCGGGGGCCCCACAAAGTTCCTGTAGGAGCTGTAGATGTGGCTGTAGGCGATGTTGAGAGGCTGGAAAACAGAGGATGTGGCCAAGTCAGAGGCAGAGAACTGAATGCACATATGTGAGTCCTAGCAGGAGGGGTTTCAATCACAGAAGGATAGAAGTTTGACGTCCTTGTTCTCTCACTGGGAAACCCCTATGAATACATTTTGCAAGATGCTAATAGAGAGTGGTGGTCAGTGACCACACGATGGAGCATCTCATGGGGCAGCAGTTCCCTAACAATACAGGAGAAAGGGCCTCCAGGCAAATATCTTTTTATAAAACACGACTCATGCTACACTTGACTGTCCACACACAAACCAGGACTTCCACTCTTGAGCCATGGGGCGAGGGTAAAACAAATGCTTTTCTTTCTCTAGGGGCATTTTCAGTGCTAGGAATTGGCTGGAAGAACTTTGGTGAAACCTCAATAGCTGATTCATCATTGCCTTCTCTCTACTTCGACATGTCTTCATCTATCACAGGGTGGGGTCTTGAGAACCAAGAGGTCTGGGGGGGCAGAAGACCTCTGCCGACCACGTGGGAAAACCATACAGGAATTTTGAGCCTCAGTTTCTTCATCTATGAAATGAGTGGGTTGGACTAGAACATTGGTTTTGAAGCTTTTCGAGTAGCAATAAAAAAAAAAAAAAGATATCACAGAAATAAGTACAGGAAACAGACAAAAGCTGAGATGTTCTGATTGGGTGTTGGTTGAGGGCCCAGAGCCCTGACCACTGAAGGGCCATCTCCACTGTCCTCTGGACCTCATGAGATGCTGTTGCTGAATTAGTGGAATCTCTTTAAGGTCCTTCTGTCTGAGAACACAGGACCAAAATAAAGGGCTCTGAGTTGGTCTCACTTAGCTAGGTGAGACACTGAAGTTATCACTGACTCTGTTTTGAAATGCTGCCACTTATGGAGCACCTCATGCCAGGCTTCATGAAGCCCTCCAAGTGCATTTTCAATTAGTTCACACAACCCATGTATGTGATCTGTGATCTGTACAATTCTAGGCCCCATTTCACAGATGAGGGAACTGAGGCTCAGGGTGGTTAAGTAGCTTGCTCAAGGTCACACAGTTCATAGGTAACTGGGCCCTGATCTGAACCCAGGTGGTTATGATCCCAAAGCCCATGTTTTTAACCTCTGCCTACAAAGGTGAACTTTGGAAGCAAAATTATTACGTAAACCCTAAACTTTTTTTTTTTTTTAAGAAAAAAACTTCACTTCTAACCTTAGTTTTGAGTACAGTTCTCCTATCTGGAATTGTAAAACTCTTGTATACAGAGCATGCAAATATGAAAAGATCACATCTGATAATCTATTAGCTGGCTAATTAGAAATCCTACATGAATTAAAAAGGAACTGTGATGGTGCTTCTGGAGTTCTGCAAGATTCTCAGCTCCGTCTGGAGCCATCAGGGAAGATTCAATTATGTTCAGACTAGGTTTTGCATCAAGTATGTTTTACTATATTGTAAACTTCACCAACAAGCATCACAATCATGGTATCCTCTAATAATAAGGATACATGAGGAACACAATTAGAGTGTCCACTAACAACAAGAATTCATGAGGAATCACAAGCCCACTCATCCAGCAGGCTGAATAACAGTTCTCTTGCTAAGTTAATGCCTATACATGGAGAGGCTTGGAGTTTGAGAGTGGAGAAGGAAATGGCAACCCATTCCAATATCCTTGCCTGGAAAACCCCATGGACAGAGGAGTCTGGTGGAGTCAGACATGACTTAGTGACTGAGCATGCACACGCAGAGTGTGAGAAAACAGCGTTCTGCACGCAACACTGGTGTGTTGTCATAGTAAAACTCTGCCTGAGCCTGGAGGAGGGACACCTTGTAGGTAGTTACTAAAGATTTCTAAATGGGGTAGGGCAGGAGCAGTTTATGTGGGGAGGGAAAATATAACTGATTAGAAGCATGATGTTCACAGTGGCTGATGATCAGCAAATTCTGGAGTATAGGAATTGTTGAGTTTGATATAGTCAACCATGGAGCCAGGCCATATAACTTTCTGTGTGTGGAGCAGACCATTTTAGTGTCTCTGTAATAGGCCACCCTGCCAAACAGGCAGGGACCAGAGAGGGGAGTGAGGCACCAGGGCACACGTGGCAGAAGGTACTCCCCCCTCCAAGTGGGCGCATCTCAGCTCTGGCTCTGTAATCAAAGCCCACTCCACTCCATAGTCTCCTGCTCCCTCTCCAGGGATGAGAGGGGGGCAAAAACAGCAGACACACCATGGCCTCCCTCTGGTGGTGGGAGGACAGAACTTTCTAGATGATGGAAATGTCCCACATGTTGACTGGATTTTTGACTACACACATGTATATGCTTGTCAAAACTCACAAAACTATATGTACACATGATCTGTGCATGTTATTGACTAAATGGTTGTGCCCTCACCCCCCCAGTTCTTTTGTTGAGATCTTAATCCCTATTGTGATGGTATGAGGAGGTGGGACTTTGGGGAGGCAATCAAGTCATGAGGGTGGTGTCCTCATCAATGGGGTTAGTGCCCTGGAAGGAAGACATGTGAAAATGTTCTCCCTCTCCCTCTCTGCCTCCCCTTCCTCTCTCTCTTTTTCCCTCCCCACCTGCACCCCCCCTCTCTTCTCCACATGTACTAGGAGAAGAAGGCTATCTGCAAACCAGCAAGCGGGCTCTCATTAGACACAGAATCTGCCAGCACCTTGATCCTGGACTCCCCAGCCTCTAGAACTGTGAGAAATCTTTGCCGTCTAAGCCACCCAGTTACTGTATTCTTGTTACAGCAGCCTAAACAAAGACAGTGCATTTTATTGCTTATGATTATATCTCAATAACAAAAGTAAATTAAAAAGCCCACTGGGGTACATCACAGTCTAATTCACTTCCCAACATTTGCTTTCAAAGATTAAAAAACAAAAACCTGATTTGAGTTTCCTCCCAAAGAGGCTGCAGCTTGAGCCTTCACGGGCTCAGGAGAGGGATGGCTGGGCTGTACTCACAGTCCGAGGGGTACTGCATGGACCTATCTCCAGGGGAGCTTTCTCCTCACCCTCCCCATCTGGAGCTGGGACTCTCCTCTGAACCCAGTGAAGCTCTGAGCATATTCAGTATCTTTTCAAATATCCTGTGAAGGGAATTTTTGAACAGCATGGAACTTTCAAATGGATATTCCTAGAGGGGACAGAAAGCAATCAGCTACTTTCTTCCCCTGTATGATTCTCTGATTTCTTTTCTTGCTTTGTCTGAGTCCAGAGTTATTTACTGGGGTGAGCACACCTGAGTTCAAATTCCAGTTCCATAAATTTATTAGCCAGATGATCCTGAGCAAATTATTTAAACTCTCTTAGCCTTGGTAGCACAGACGGTATAGAATCTGCCTGCAACACAGAAGACCCGGGTTCGATCCCAGGGTTAGGAAGATCCCCTGGAGGAGGATGTGGCAACCCACTCCAGTATTCTTGTCTGGAGAATCCCACGGACAGAGGAGCCTGGTGGGCTACAGTCCATGCATTTGCAAAGAGTCAGACATGACTGAGCAACTAACATGTTCACTGTTTTTTCACTCCCTAAGTAAAGATAATAATACCAACTCTGGGAGGATTGTACAAGATTTAAATGAGGTGACATACACAGGCATGCTGGAAACACTGGCTGAAATAACAGCCCTTCATATTCCTTCCCTTTGGTAATTGGAAAGTAAAAACTAAGAAAATACAGCTTCCTGATCAAATTTCTCCCAGAGGCTTTCGCTATAGTCACGATTCTCTGAACCTGGAGAGTATATCTATGGGGTAAAATTTTGAACAACACAGTGTATATCCTACATGGGGACAGATGTGACAGGGGGCAGAGTTGATACCAGCTGATGGAAGATGCCAAAAGTAATGGAGATTTTGCTCAATATTTGGAACATTATAAAAATAGGAGCTGCACTGAGTGGAGACTGAGTCATGTGACACAGGGATGTTGGAAGGTCGCTCTGCCGGGGACAGAGGGTGGGAGCAGATGTGCTATTAACTCCCTCCACAGGTGCAAGCTCCACTGTGGCCTTCCCTCTGCTCATCCTTCTTAGCAGCCTCCTTAGCTGCCACACCCACCCAAGGAGCTTCTAATACAAGTTTCCCTTGGCACTTCCTGGAAAGCACAAATAAAAATGTAGTTGGGTAGATGGAAACTCTTTAGCAGCTCTTGCCAGAGTTCTAAGCAGAGAAGAAGAATTTTGGAATTGTTTAATCACACACAGGGCTAAAAAAACAAAATCCCCCTTACAAACCCACACACAGGAGGCCTCTTGCTGACATCCCTCTATTACTCTTGGATTCTGGATTCTGGTCTGGACCATTCAGACCTCAGTTGGTGGCCCAAGCTCAGGAAGGACCAGCATGAAATGAGCAGAATTCAAATCCTCCTTCTAAGTGAACAAGCTCCCCTCATTCCCCAACCGCCACCCCCAACACACCACACCCATGCAGGAGGAAACACACACGCATGCTGGAAAGTACATGCACACACCCCCACAGGGCACCCATCTGACCTGCTGGTTCAGGAGGAGGCTGGGCCCTATTGAGAAAATGTGGGAATATGGGAGCCGGGGCATTTTCTGAGGTTTGGCAAGGAAAAACAGGAATGCAACGTGACTTGAGACGTTGGAAACTTGCTACAGATCTCTCATATAGAACCAATCCTGCTAACTGACTTGGGTTACAATCAATGCCTGCATTTAGAGACTAATTATGTCCCTTGTTTAGGATGTCTTGCTTAAAATTAAGCTTGGTTAAAACCATCTTGCTCAGAATAGATACCTTTATGAGATCTCAAGAAATAATCCTGATTCAGGAATTGGAACCATAATATCAATGTGTGACATAGATGCATATTTGTTTAAAAGAGAAATAGCATTTTAAGGAGAGAAAAAAAGCTCAGTTGATCTGGCAGATTCTGGGCACTGTAATATTCTCTATAAGTGGACTTTTTTAAAAAATGTGATAAAATATTCAAAACATAAAAGCCTCCGTTTTA